GATCGTGAAATCAAACGGCTGCAGCGCCAAACTCCAGCGCAACAGCCGGGCATTGTCTCCTGACACCCTGTGTAGCCACACCAACGGGTTGTGATCTGTGAGCAAGGAGAATGGTTGTCCATACAAATAAGGTTGTAACTTTTTGAGGGCCCACACCACGGCCAGGCATTCCTTCTCGATGGCGGCGTAGCCTACTTCCCTTGGTAGTAATTTTCTGCTTAAGTAAGCTACGGGATGTTCTCCGCCATCAGCTCCCACTTGGCTCAGTACTGCCCCCAATCCAAACATGGAAGCGTCTGTGTGAACAAGAAATCGTTTAGTTGGATCAGGGGCAGTTAACACAGGAGCCTTAGTTAATGCAGTTTTTAGTTCATGGAATGCCTGTTCACACTCTGGGGCCCAGTTGACCTGTCGTGGCAAGTTTTTCTTGGTCAAGTCCGTCAGGGGTTTGGCCAGGGCGCTGTAATTGGGCACAAATTTTCTGTAGTAACCAGCGGTACCAAGGAACGCCAATACTTGTGTCTTTGTCCTGGGGGTAGGCCACTTAGCTACTGCCTCTATCTTGGCCGGTTCGGGCCTCTGCTGTCCGCATCCTACCCTGTGACCCAGGTACTGCACCTCTGCCATCCCTATGTGACACTTGCTAGGTTTTAGTGTCAGCCCTGCCTCTCCAATACGGTCAATGACCACACTAATATGTTTCAAATGATCTGCCCAGGTCTGGCTATAAATGGCTACATCATCTAAGTACGCACAGGCGTACTCTTGGAACCCGTCCAGTAGCCGATCTACCATCCTCTGAAAGGTAGCCGGAGCGTTTTTCATCCCGAAAGGCATGACCCGAAATTGATACAGGCCAAACGGGGTGACAAACGCCGACTTGGGGATGGCCTCCTCGGCTAGTGGAATCTGCCAGTATCCCTTACACAGATCAATGGTAGTGAGATACTGGCCTCTTGCCATCCTATCTAGCAGCTCGTCTATACGGGGCATCGGGTAGGCGTCAGACACTGTTTTGTCATTGAGCCTCCGGTAGTCTACACAAAACCGTGTGGTGCCATCCTTCTTGGGTACTAGCACTACCGGTGATGCCCAGGGGCTATCTGAATGTTCGATAACCCCTAACTGCAACATTTCCTCAATTTCTTTCCTCATGTGCTCCCTTACTGCTTCAGGGATACGATACGGAGTCTGTCTCATAGGGAGCTGTCCTGGGGTCTCTACTCGGTGGGTAGCTAACAGAGTGTACCCTGGTAAATTGGAGAAGGTAGCACCTTTTGCCGCAATCAACTCCTGTACCTGGGCACGCTCCTGGAGACTTAGCCGCTCCCCCAGCTGCACACCTGTAGCGTTTTCTGCAGAATCTTCCTTTTCTAACATGTCTGGCAAGGGCAGATTCTCATAATCCTCAGTGGCTGGGGCACAGATGGCTGCTACCTCCTCTATTCTCTGGTGATAGGGTTTGAGCATGTTCACATGGAGCATGCGTCGTTTCCCTACCCCAGAGCACGGGCCGATCACATAAGTGGTGTCACATCTCTGTTCTACCACTTGGTATGGGCCCTGCCAGGTGGCCTGTAGCTTGTCTGTGCGGACAGGTTTCAAAATTAGAACTTTCTGTCCCACCTGAAAGCTACGGTCTCTGGCTCCCCTATCGTACCACCGGCGCTGTCGCCGCTGAGCCGCCCGGAGGTTCTCCCGTACGGTTTGGGTTAGAGCCTCCAAGCGGTCCCGGAACTCCAGCACGTATGGCACAATGGGGACTCCATCTGCACTGCTCCCCACCTCCCAATGTTCTCTAATTAAGTCTAGGGGTCCCCTCACCCTTCTCCCAAACAATAACTCAAACGGAGAGAAGCCGGTAGATTCCTGTGGCACTTCTCGGTACGCAAAAAGCAGATGGGGTAAAAACCTCTCCCAGTCTTTATGGGACTCCCCAAATGTCCTGAGCATCTGCTTCAAGGTACCGTTAAAGCGCTCACACAACCCATTGGACTGCGGGTGATAGGCAGAATTTACAATTGGCTTAATGCCACATATCTTCCATAGCTGGTGGGTCACTTCGGCTGCAAATTGGGTCCCCCTATCCGAAATTATCTCTTGGGGAAATCCCATCCTGGAAAATATCTTCATCATAGCTTCGGCTACCGTTTCTGCTTGTATATTGGAAAGGGCTATAGCCTCCGGGTACCGGGTGGCATAATCTACAATGGTCAGAATATACCGCTTGCCGGAAGGGCTAGGCTTGGACAGTGGTCCTACTATATCCACTGCTACTCTGCTAAAGGGTTCTTCAATAATGGGAAGGGGGCACAATTTCGCTTTGTGGCGGTCACCCCTTTTTCCCACTCTCTGACAAATGTCACATGTCTGACAATACTGTCTCACATCTCTAGATATACCTGGCCAGAAAAATGCATGTGTCAATCTGTACCTCGTTCTTGTCATCCCTAAATGCCCAGACAGCGGAATATCGTGGGCAATTCTAAGCAGTTCCTGCCGGTATTTCTGGGGCACTATAAGCTGCTTATTAGTCACATGTACAGACCCCCCTACCACCCGCTCAGCAACACGATATAACAGATTTTTCTCCCATACATACTGTTCTCCCTCTAAACCTGTCTGACCAGCTGTCGCCTTATCCTTATAAATTTGCAACGTGGGATCGTTTTTAACCTCTGCCTCAAAGTCAGTCGGGGTATCCCAGGAAACACGGGTTACACGGGGTACATTGTCTCTTACCTGAGCCTCAGAGTGTGTGGAAGATGAAGCCGTGGTGCGAGCCTGCTGACGGGTGGTCACTGGATATGCCTCATGGCGAGGACTTTGGGGCACAAAAGCGGAAGTCATTTGCCCCAGGTCATTCCCCAAAACAACATCAGCTGGTAACTTGTGCATCAGCCCCACCTCCACCATACCTTCCCCCGCACCCCAATTCAGATGTACCTTGGCAGTTGGTAGCCGGTACATGGCACCCCCTGCTACCCGGACTGCTACCGATCCCCCGGTATGTGCTGATCCTGACACCAAATGCAGGGCAACCAAAGTTAAGGTAGCGCCGGAATCACGTAGCCCCTGTACCTCTTTCCCTTCCAGAGTCACGGTCTGGCAATGTGGTTGTCGGTTGTCAGTAGCATGGTAACATTACATCGTGCAAAACGCCCAGGGGTTCATCAGCCGACTCAAGCGGCACTCCTGGCAAAGTTGGCTCTGCATGATAATAATGAGCAGCTGCCCGCTGGGCCATATTCTACCGGAGCTGATTCCAGTTCTTGCGGCTCCGGTTTTGGGTGCACTCCCGGGCCATGTGCCCCCATTGCTTACAGGCATGGCACTGGATGTTGGACCTGCCATTATAACGGGAGTGGGGAGGTTGTCCCACAAGTGCTGGTCTGGATGGTGCTGTCGCTGGGGCAGGAGCAATAACTGGAAACGGTTGCGGGTTGGGTTTTGCATACCCTCGGTTATTATTTTTATGATGCCTCCTAGCATCATAATGTTGGTCGGCCAATCGTGCCGCTTCGGTTAGGGTGTGAGGATTTCGGTCATTCACCCATTCTTGAGCCTCTGGTGCCAGGCCATTACAAAACTGCTCCAGTAGAAACATCTGGCGTACTGAGTCTTTGTCCCCTTTTTTCAATTCTCGGAACTTGCGCCGGTATGCCTCTGGGGTAATGGCATACCTTTCTAATAGCGCCTGCTTTACCTTGTCATAATTCTTGCTGTCCTCTCTGGGTACAGCCCGGTAGGCGTCTGCTGCATGCCCAGACAGTTTGCCTGCCAACAAAGGTACCCACATAGCTTGCTCTACATCATGCAAGTCACACAATCTTTCAAAATCTTGCAAGAATCCATCTATTTCGTCTTTATCCTCGCAAAAAGTTTTAAATGCATGATGTGGTATTTTTGGCCTTCCCTGGCCCACAGTTGAAACAGCAGCGGTTTCTGCTTGAGGTGAGAAGGCTTGATTCATTTGCGCCATCACGTACTCCTGTGCATCTGCCGAAATTATGGTAATAATTTCTGGAGATACTGGAGCGGGCCAAAATGCCAATCTTGTCCTCATTTCTCGTTCAAATGGGGTCTCCTCCATGTTTGCTGGGGGTGTAGCACTACGAACTCGGTCTCCTTCCATTAGCTCGGCAATAAGTCTTGCTTTAGGCTTATTGCTGGCTATCTTACCCCTGGCTTCCAACAGCTCCTTTAACGTTTGCCGTTTCAATATGGTGTAGTCCGTCCCCATTCACTTCTGCATCTGTATTAATTGCCTTCTGCTTTCCAGTATGTCAATTCCAATTGTATAAACAGCGTTTTTCCTGCTGTACGGTTGGATCCCGCCGCTGCCACCAATTGTTGCGGAGCTGCAATTTTATAATTCCAGGACCTCTGCTGGTAGAATGCAATAACCAAGTACAAAGCTGGAAGCAGGCAATATTCCCAAATCCTCCCAAGAACCAGACGAAACACAGTCTGAGAGTCAACTGTCACTTTATTAAAAAAAACTGATATTTAAAGCAGGTCACTCAACAGGGGTTTCCAAAGATGGGCAGCAGGGGTTTTGGTTGAGGGGACTGGAGGGAGACTACCGTTTCCAGGTCCTCCTCACAACAGCCCCTGCTGTAACATACAGTAATGAAAACTACGAGGACATAAACCGTTACCTTTCTACTTCAAAATATACAACTTAGTCAGTTTTAATAGCAATGCTAACGAATGGGGAGGATTCGAACAGACATACACAGTACAGCATAAATTAAACATAGCCGGAGACGCCACACTATACCGGCGCGCAGTACACAACAGAAAATAGGCACAACCATTCTATCTTAGGCAGTCCCAAGTGGCTAGGTTTGCCACACCGTTCTCTTTTTTTTTTTTTTTCTAAAATGATAAAAATCTAAATGAGGTTTCTTGGTGGTCCTCGTTCGGGAGGTAAACGGAACCCGTTCGCATTGAGCTCTCCCGAACGTGGAGCAGGTAAAACACATGAATACAACATAGTACAGGGGAAAACATGGGGAACATTTCCTAGCAATTCACGAAATAGGCAGCGGTCCCGCCACAACCGGTATTAGGGTTTCACGGATACCACTCTGTATCCTTTTTATGTATTTAGTGTGTGGGAGGTCGGGTGTTTTTTAGCTGCTGTTAAATTATTTCCATTTAAGCGCTTTTGATTTCTGCACACTCCCTCCTTTGGAGGTTTTTTAGGATTGTGCCATTGTGTTATAACCTACAGTTAGATTTGAATCCAAAGAAATACAAGAAATGTGTTTTCCCTGCTTACTCATATTTTCTTTATAAATGGTACATAAATTGTGTGTATGTGCAGCCTTCAAACTCCAACAGTACACACAAATTTAAACAAAAACACTGCAGACAGACACACCCCTACATTCACACACACACACACACCCCTATACAACAAACGCTTACATTCAAACTCACAAACACGGCTCAGTGCTAAATCAAGCCTCTAATGATGGGCAGAAGGTAAATTCCCAGCTGGCAAAGCATTGTGGGAATTGAACGACAGATGGCAATCTATCCCATGACGTTAGAATGAGGTTGTATCGCGTACTCCAGCCCTTTTGTGGGGAGGATCTTTACTGTGTAAAATGCCCTATTGGGCAGTATGGAGAAGGCCACTACCTTGATTTACAGTATGAACTATTGTGACAGATCCCTCTGTATAGACTAAGATTGCTGTTTTGCCTTTTTCACGAAATTACCCGTTCGTATGCCTTTGTTCAAGTGAATTGACTTTTCTGCCGAACAAAACTGCAGAACGGACAGCCACCCAGAAGAGAAGTGTGCTGCTGGTTAACCTATTGATCCCAATTAGAACTTTGTGATTAACCACAGACACTTCTCAATTAAAACCGAATACAGGGTGGTCGTCGTTCGTATGTCGACCATGAGGCGGTGGCCATTTTAAACCATGCGAGAGACCAGCGGTGTTCGGCATTGATTTCATGGAACTGAAAACGGACACTTTTTCAACCGAACACCTCTGAAGCCGTCGACCTCCCTTCTCAATCGACAGAAGTGTGCGAACACCGGCCGTTCGGGAGGTTTAAATGCACGAATGGACTTACCCCAGATAGCCTTCCCATGGAGTCAATCGCATACCGAAGAACTGTAATAGACTTTGACTCCATGGCGATTGAACTATGCGTATGGGATCTGAGCGTTACTTGCCAATAATATGCACTCAGATCCAGGCTATCTGGGGATATGTGATACGAATGGATAGTATTCGACAAATGTAAAGTTATCTATTTTTATGTGTTTTTATGTGTTGAATTTAAAATGGCGATTTGCCTCTGGCCTGGAGATAATTGAATTACTTCTCAATTATCTCCAGGGCAGATGGGAGGAATTACTATTACATGCTGGGAATATTTCGTGTCTGTGGGTCCTGAACTGCCATATGTCTATCTGTTGTCACAGTTTCCCATTTGGTCCCCTAGGGGAGTGTCCACCAAGTGGGAGACCTGCATAAATACGGGCAGGTAGCCCACAGTAAAGCCAGTTCTTGTTTTACCCCCAATGCGGAGCTTGGTCTCGTTATAGGGGGGATTTATTACCGACGACTAGAGACTGCTGGATGGGATTATTAGCCGCTTGGGAGATACCTGCGTTCGGCTAATGTTGGCGATTCGTGAGTTTGGAGCTCGTGGAGTGAAGTGCACGTACGGATCCCGTTCGTGAGTTTACGGCGTTCCCTTGCTTGCGGTTCGTATGATTACACTGGATACGAATGCAGCCTGGGTTATTGCGAACGGGGAGCATTCACTAAACGGCGGTTTGTACATTTCATGCTGAGGGTACCGTAACAACTGGTGGCAAGCGACGGGATGACCCTCATCGCCCAGAGAGACCACTACAACCAGGATTAAATGGAATTACAATATCAAAGGCTGCAAAGAGCTACCCTGAAAGATTTATTGGAGCCAAGACTCGGACAAGCCAGTAATCTCAGAAAGAGGGACATTATTGCACTACTGACTGAAATGGATAGAGTACCAGAGGCAGAGGGAACCAATTGGCCCAGCGCAGCTGACAAAACCCCCGAGGAGGCAAGCTTTGACCGGGCGGTAAGAATCAGGCTGGCCCATTATAGTCCCAACCCGACTACAGAGATCATCACCCAGGTCATAGCCGCTGTGGAGGCCAACCTGCTACGCCAAAGCGGTGCTGCAGCAGCCCCAGTTACCTGGGGGAAAGAAAGAAAGTGCCGTTTACAGCATTTTTAATCCTTCAGTGAGACAGAAGGAGAGATTGATGGGTACCTTGCTGATTTTGAGCGGCAATGTGCCCTGTACAAGGTACCCCTGGAAGACTGGGTTACTATATTGTCCGGCAAGTTATCCGGCCGGGCCAGTGATGCTTTTCGGGCCATTCCTGATGAGGAGATCGGGGATTATGGGGCCGTCAAGGAAGCTTTGCTCTCCAGGTATGCCGTTACACCGGAGGCATACAGGAGGCGATTCAGAGACACTGTTAAATCAGCTGGGGATTCTTATGTTGAATGGGCATGCAAAGTGCACCGCACAGCTGCCCACTGGATGGCGGGGTGCCAAGCTGTATCCGGGGAAGAGGTGCTGCAAATGTTCCTGTTGGAGCACTGCTTTGAAAAATTATCCCCAGGCGTCAGAGAGTGGGTAAGGGACCGTAAACCCTCCACTCTGCATGAAGCAGCTCGCCGGCCGGACCAGTACATGGATGCCCGTAAACTAGACAGTGCTATTGGGAAGACTCCTGCAAGAGTGGAGTACCGACCAGCTGCACCTCCAGCAGCTACCGTATACCAACCACCGCCGAACCGGCCGTCAGCACCTCCTCCATCTAACCATTATCAGCAGCTGCCCCGGTTCAACTCACGGGACTACTCCCAACCCATTAGATGCTTTTTGTGCAAGCAGCTAGGGCACAAGCGACCGGAGTGCCCGATGAACAGTGCTAACCAGGCCCAGTCTTGGAGGAGACCAGCCAGTGGAAATCAACGACCCCCTCTCCCGGCTGCTCACTGCGTAGAGGAAGAGGAATGCTGGGGCATCATGCATGAGGCAGATCCTGTCCAAGCTGCTCACCGGGATAACCGACAGCACCGCCGGCAATTTGTCAAGGTCAACGGGAAGGAGGTCAGTGGTCTGAGGGATATCGGTGCAACCATGACAGTACTTCAGAAGCACTTGGTGTCCGAGACCCAACATACTAGAGACACGGTAGCAGTGCGAGTAGCCGGAGGCGCTGTGTTTCGCCTACCCGTTGCCCAGGTACATTTGGATTGGGGGTCATGAAGGATTTACCAGTCCTCCTTGGCAATGACTTGGCGCGCCTTGTTTCAGCCTTCGAACCCATGGGTCCCATTGAAGTGGACGCTGTCACGACCCGTGCCCAGACCCGTGCCACCGAGACCGGCCCACCTGCTGCCGAGACCCAGGTAAGACTCTCTACCCCGACCTGTACCTTAGACCAGGCCCCTTTAGGCTGGGATACCCCAGAGATGTATGGGAGGGAAACCCGGGAAGACCCGACTCTCCAGAAATACTGAGATAGAGCAGAGGCTGGAGAGGAAGGAGTAGATGGGGAGTGGTATGAGTGGGTGGGGGACAGGTTATATAGGATCCCTAAGCCTTCCCAGAAGAGTGTTGCCCCTCCGCCGAATCGACAGTTAGTGGTACCTGCAAAGTATAGAGAGAAGTATAGGGCCAGGGCAGATTCTGGGGGAGAGGGAGTTGATGGGGAGCATTACGAGTGGGTGGGGGATAGGCTGTACAGGATCCCTAAACCATCCCAGACACTGAGTACCCCTCCTGTTGGGGATAAAATCAGCCCGGGCCCTTTGTGGATGATGGATATTTGCCAACTCATACAGAGCTCTGGAAATTGGAAATGAATAGCAGAGACGTGTTCAATAACCAATTCCAAATTTATTCTTGGTTCAAATTAACCCTTATATGAACAGCTAGGATATTGAGCAAAATGGATATTCGCATCAACAATTCCCCTCTTAGATCATATCATGATCTACCTTACGGAATATCCATGGGAGGCCTGCAATATCCATGGGAGGCCTGCGGCAGAGAAACCAAAGGAGGTATATTCAGACGTGCTAATCACGTCTGCGGGACTTTCATTATTTCTTCACCTCGATTTCCCCCATTTGCTCTGTGCCGTAGGTTTTCCCTTTAAGAGGAGATCGAGCTGTCGATTTTCAGCTTTTGTAATCATCTGTTGTACACATCTTTTAAGTATACAAGTTAAAAATTTCAAACAGCTGACATCTTAACCAATTTTAAACAGACTGCACATCATGTTATCTGCAACTTGAGCCTTGGATCAAAACAGGCAAAGTGTATTATTCCCAACAACGGGAATATTATTATTATAATTCACAATGTAAACACATATAATAAAAAATGGGAATAAAATCTATTTCCCCTCTTTGGACCAGTCCACCCAGTGAACTTGGGCCATGTCAAAAAACCCAGTGGCAAAAACTCAGTGAGGGCCATGACTGTGTAGACATGTCATCCCCTCACGTTGACAGCATTAGTGACTTATAAAACCTGCACTATGTAAGTAAATAGCTCAGGTATCGGGATTGGGAAACACTTCTTGATTAGTTTGAAAAGGCCCACTTACATATTAAATCATAAGATCATTTCTAATCAGTTTGCAATTCTAGCAATAATCCCAATCATGACCTTGCGTCCTATGCCTCCTAATCAAATCCCTATTTTGATGGTCCAGTCATATCCACACTTAATACATTGGAATCCATCCTTGGTACACTTAACATACATAAATGACACACATAGTACATCCATGCCTGAGTAAGCTAACACTTCCTCTCTCTCCGGCTAACTCTACAAAAATAAAAATAACAAAATAGTTCAATAGTCCAGCATAGTCCAGAAAAATATATAAGTCTTTCAAGGAGTATAAAGAATCTTAGACACCATAAACTTTGTTCCATAATCTTAGACACCATAACATAGCTAAGGGTAGCAATATGGCTGACAACAAGACAATGTCAGCTTCCACATAGTTCTTAATTCTTCTGTTTGCTGGATGTTCACCACAATACTCTGTGCAACACCCCTATTGTTGAAAGGGTAATACAGAAATAGCGGCATTAGACAGCACTGCATCTTCAGGACTTTCCAAGTTAGTTTATGTCCTCATAAGTAAGCATCTCAGTTTCTTCGGCCAGCATGGATTTTGACCAAACAGATTTAATTGCAAAAAAGGTAGGTCAGCCAGAGAGATTGGTGTGTAGTCACAAATATCAGGCGGCACAAATACTCCAGTATGGTCTCTATAATCATACAAACACAAGGATCAGTACGACATCAATAAATTAATTATCTAGGCTAAACTCAAATTAGAGACTAAAGTTAAACTCTTAACTAGTGTAACACGTACTTCTCTCAGTTTTGCTTATAACTCATTGAATTTGTCCTTTATAACATTTTAATACATAATTTCCCTCTAAAATGCCTTTGAATGGATGAGAGAAGCACACCTTCTATATAAATGCTTGTTGAGTACTAAAACACTAACATATACATATTGGTATAATTCCCAATAAAATGCTGTTCTTAAACTTAAACCTTGATATGATAATCCCAATTAATTACTTTAATAAAATTGAAATGCTGAAGTCTGGCAGTTTTGTGGACCCTGATAACATCTTTGGAAACTGAAACCTTTTATAGATCCCGATGTCCAAAAAGCCACCAGTTCTGTAGGTGTGTGATCATGTTTTAATACATGTTGGAACCTCCATACTGTTATCCCACTTAAACAATATTTTTTTTTTTTTTCAGAACAACTAGGAATGAAATAGGAGAAACAAAATAAATTACTATTGTTCTAAAGTGCTTTGTTTAATACAGGTTTCGGAAGAGTTGTCTTGCTGTGTTGCAAGTGGCCTCTGATAAGGAAGGGACAGCAAACTGGAGACATATGTTATATTAAGTTGCCCTCACTTGTCAGGTCTTGGAAACCCACTTATTTTATTGCAGATGCCTCTATTATACCACTTTACAAATTGACTAAGCATACTTATTATCCTATTTTATTTTAGTTATTTCACATTGCACAGCCTATGCAAACAATGTCTAGGTCCCAACTTCAGCTTGTACATCCTCTAAGAGCCAGCATTAATACTGTTTTATCTATAAAAACTATATATAAAGTATTAAAAACATGAACCATCTGTGTATTAGGCTGAGGTTGTTGGGTGTGGGTATAGCTTGAAAGTTGTGGTTGGTATTGAGGAACCTGCCAGGGTGGGAGTCCTTGAATGCCAGCTGGGCCAGGTTCTCCCCTAGCACCGGGTTCTCCTTTGTCTCCTTGAGCACCAGGTTCACCATTGTTACCCTTAGGTCCAGGGGAACCTTTGAGGCCCTGAGGTCCAGGAGAACCGGGTTCACCACAAGCACCTTTGGGCGAATCCCTGCTATTCATAATTAAAACAGTGCTGAAGTTACCACCTCTACAAAAGTTAGATCCTTTGATCAAATTCTCTACCTCTGCCTCTAAAACTTTTCTGATTCAATCTATCACCTCCAAAATTTCTTTGTCTCGCCTGCTTAAGATCACAATCCTTTTGTGACCGATACAACATACTTTTCCCTCTTTCTTTATATCAAAACAACCTGCTGTATCTTTCTCATGAATCTTCCCAAGAAATTCAGTTCAAAGAGGGCCAGTCACAGACCAACAGTTTGACCAAAAGTGAACAAGGAGGAAGCATATTCCATATGAAGGTCGAGATGACCTAACTCACACCCCCTCTTTGTGTACCCCTCTTTGTGTACCACACAGATATAATATTAATAAGCTTTTGAAGATTTATTGTGCATATATAGCACGGTTGTCTAGGGGTGTATACATAAACAGTGAAAGCAGAGTCTTAATATAGGGTTTGCAATACTGACAGTCTGGGTCATAGGTGTAATACAGACATGCGGTTAGGAACTTTTCCATTGTCAGAATACATTGAAAACACTAATATATTGCAAATATTAAAGTCATATTTCAGCTGTTTCCTATACCTGCAAGGATATGGTTGTAATACTTCAATTGAGTTCAAATTGAGTATCAAAAACTCTTACCACAAAAACTAAATTTTATATGCTTATCAAAATGAGTTTAACCCCTCAGCAATTTAATAGGGTGACCTCTTCCCATAGTATGGTTCCTTTTATAATTATTATATTATTTATTCTCTTCTGGGTCAGCAAAATGCTTTCAATATACCAATACAAATATAATACAGTAGTTTAGAATTGCCTCAAAAGAAATTATCTGATCTCTATTAAAAATACCATTTCATCATTTTCCTATAATCAATGAGGCATACTGGATGAATCTTAATCTTGGAAAAAACCTATCCTATACATCCATAATTTATCTTGTTATATAACCATATAACATAACAAATTTTTCTTTTCTTAAATAATGCAATGCACTTTAAAAGTAGCGTTAACTCTAAATACTCCCCTAATAATACTGAAACGTGGATCCACAATTTTGAAAAGCAAATTATATATTTTTATTTTTCTTTCCCAGGGGCCCCTTACTTGTTGGCTGATCAGCGTTTTTTTTAATCTGTTGTAAAAAGACACTAAAGGCTTGCGTTAATGACATGCAAATATTCTTTAAATATTCTTCATACTCATTGTAATATCACACATGTCATCTTATAGCACAGAAAACATGTAGCAGATATCCAGCAGACATGCCAATACAAAAAGCATATTAATCCAAAATAAATTAATAAATGTCACACTATGTGACAGACATAATTTGGTTCCCATGTTTGTGCATTATGCATGTCTGCAAACTATGCAAGCAGTACTGCTTTAAGATTAGATCAGAGCACCTGGCAACTGGACAGGAAAGTCAAATTTTGGCAGGAAGTCCATTATTGCAACAGAATTTTGGAAATCAGCTAAAATCTACAAAAACAGCCTCCCTCTTTTTTTTTTTTTTTTTCTTTCTTAAGACTACAACTCATATTGCTCTTGGACTAGTATTCAATAATAAATCAGTTATTTAATAGATTATTACGCTGTCATTTCCATCTGTATCAATACTGAGACAAACTTATTCAAATATAATTTAAAATAACACAGTAAAATACCCATTAACATACATGACAATTAAACTGCACACTTTAAAATGAGTAACCAAAACAAACATTTATGATAATCATCATTCACACAGAATAAACTTCTAACAGCTGTATTCAGAACATATTATTGTAAGGTATACCAATTTTAGTTTGTATTGGATTTATTTAAGCGTTCTGGTACCAAAGGGTTTATTTTTTCTTTTTAAAGAAGGGATCCCGTACGGCCATATAACACGTTTGACTTAAACATTTGTATAACACTTGCATTAACCAGTTGCAACATATGTACCCTGTCAATGGAATTTCTCTCTTATACGCTTATAGAACATTTGGACCAGATTACACAGACATGGTATCACCTGCATTTGTCAGAACTCTCAAAGACTCAAAATATTTATACTACTCCATGTTAAAGGCATGGCAAAATTTTGACCGGTCAATTTGAGTTTCCAAAAGTCATATCAACACAGGTAAAAACCTTTGTCCATGGTTTTCTGATCCTACATTCCCTCAATTAAGACTTTTATGCTTAAATTCAGCGTTGCACATCTTAAAATAGCACATAAATTAGCAAGCCGGAGTAATGCCAAACATCCATCATACCTTTTAACCCCCCTTTTATTTTATTTTTATTTTTTTTATTTTTTCTAAACCATTTTAGCCTGCAACATTTACATCTACATTAAATAAATACCACAGTCCACCAAAGACTGGAAATCTGTTTTACAACCTACCAAAGGCAACCTCTACCAAAGAGGGATCTAGGGACGTCTCCCATATGTAAATGTACATCACAGGACATCACAGCCTACCAAAGGCTTGAAATTCTTTTTAACACCTGGCAAAAGGTGAACCTCTTACCAAAGAGGAAATGTGCACATAACTACTACTGCCTACCAAAGGCGTTACTCCAACCCGTGGAGTAATAGAAGTCTACATAAGACTTAAAATACCATGTCTACCAAAGACATTATCCTGTGAAAATCCCCTTTAAAAATGTAAATAGTGAAAAACCCCATTAAAACAAGAAATGCAATGTGTGGGAGGATGGCAGAAGCAGGCAAAGGTCCCCAACCCCCTAAGGACACACGACATGATTCCCTTAAAATCCTGAAGATGTGTCCCCAAGGGGTTGGTTAAAGACCCCCTTACCTGCAACTCCGTTCCCAATTGCACCCAAACTTCTGACACCAGTTTGTTGGGGATAAAATCAGCCCGGGCCCTTTGTGGATGATGGATATTTGCCAACTCATACAGAGCTCTGGAAATTGGAAATGAATAGCAGAGACGTGTTCAATAACCAATTCCAAATTTATTCTTGGTTCAAATTAACCCTTATATGAACAGCTAGGATATTGAGCAAAATGGATATTCGCATCTACACCTCCGCAGAATCGGCAGCTGGTGGTGCCTGCGAAATACCGGCAAGAGATTCTGCGGATTGGGCATGATGTGCCATTAGCGGGCCATCTAGGCTCCCGCCGCACAGCTCATAGGATCACCCAAAACTTCGTCTGGCCTAATTTTAACCGAGATGTGCGGGTTTATTGTAGCAAGTGTGACACATGTCAACGGGTAGGTAAACGGGGGATCACCCAAAGGCTAGGCTCATATCAATGCCTATCCTTTTCCCGCATAGCCGTTGACATTGTGGGTCCACTGGCCAGGGCTAGCCCATCCGGTAAGAAGTATATTCTCACCGTGGTGGACTATCGCACACGTTATCCAGAGGCAGTAGCGCTGTCTAATATGGAGGCAGAAACGGTTGCTGATGCCTTGGTTAAAATTTTCACTAGGGTCGGGTTCCCTCAGGAGATCCTCTCTGACCAGGGAACCCAGTTTACCGCTGTGGAGGATGTTGCAGCAGTATGTGCTCCGGCTGCCGACGACCCAGAGAATTTACCCTTGCCCGACTTATTAGAGAAGGATCCCCAGACTGACCTCACTAGTCTTGTACAGCTAGGGGACCAGTTAAGCCCCACAGAGAAGGTACAGGCAAGACAGCTTCTGTGGGAGAAGCAGGCAACGTTCTCCCAAGAACCCGGCTACACTACCCTAGCTGTACACAAGGTTGAGACACCCGGACAGAATCCCCTAGGACAGCCCCCCTATCGTATCCCTGAAGCAGTCCGGGAAGGAATGTGGAAGGAGATACAGGAGATGACCAGGCTGGGCGTCATCGAGCACTCAGACAGCCTTTGGGCCTTGTCTGTACTCCTGGTGCCTAAGAAAGATGGGACCACCCGGTTCTGTGTGGACTACAGGCGGCTCAACGAACGGACCACCACTGACGCCTACCCGATGCCCCGGGTAGATGAGTTATTAGACCGCATTGCCAGGGGGCACTATCTGACCACCATCGACCTGTGTAAGGGTTATTGGCAGATTCCCCTGGCCGAGGACGCTATCCCTAAGTCGGCATTTGTCACCCCATTTGGTCTGTACCAGTCTAAGGTCATGCCATTTGGGATGAAAAATGCTCCGGCTACCTTCCAGCGCATGGTGGATAGGCTCCTCGATGGCTTCCAGGAATTTGCGTGTGCATACCTGGATGACATTGCGGTCTACAGTGAGTCCTGGGAAGAACACTTGGTACACGTAGGGGTGGTTCTGGACAAGATTCGGGCCACTGGCCTGACCTCGAAGCCAGACAAGTGCCATCTAGGCATGGCAGAAGTACAGTACTTGGGTCACAGGGTAGGATGTGGGAGCCAGAGACCAGAGCCAGCCAAGGTAGAAGCTGTAGCTAACTGGCCCACACCTATCACCAAGACCCAAGTGCTGGCCTTCCTGGGAACAGCAGGGTATTACCGATGTTTTGTCCCCAACTACAGCACTGTTGCTAAACCCCTGACGGACTTGACCAAGAAGAATTTACCTAAGCAGGTCCTGTGGTCTCCAGCTTGTGAAGCCGCGTTTCAGACACTGAAGCAAGCTCTTGTGAATGCCCCTCTCCTGGCTGCCCCAGTCCCTAACAAACGTTTTCTTGTTCATACAGATGCTTCCATGTATGGACTGGGGGCTGTGCTGAGCCAGGTCGGGGAAGATGGAGGAGAGCACCCTGTCGCATATCTCAGCAGAAAGTTACTACCCCGGGAAGTGAGTTATGCAGCAGTGGAGAAGGAGTGTTTAGCCTTGGTCTGGGCACTGAAGAAATTGAGCCCTTATTTGTACGGGCAGGAGTTTTCCCTTATCACGGACCACAATCCGCTTGTCTGGCTTAACCGGCTCTCAGGAGACAATGGTAGACTGCTGAGGTGGAGTTTGGCGCTGCAACCTTACAACTTCACCATCAACTACCGACCCGGTAAGCAGAATGGGAATGCTGATGGATTGTCCCGGCAAACAGACGTCCCTATTTCCTCCTAGTCCGGTCATCCCCAAGTTGACCCGCCACAGGGTCAAGCCGGGTCTGCCGGAGTGTTCCACAAGGGGGGAGCCGTGTGACAGATCCCTATGTATAGACTAAGATTGCTGGATTCGTCTGTTTTGCCTTTTTCACGAAATTACCCGTTCCTATGCCTTTGTTCAAGTGAATTGACTTTTCTGCCGAAGAAAAAATTGCCGAACGGACGGCCACCCAGAAGAGAAGCGTGCTGCTGGTTAACCTATTGATCCCAATTAGAACGTTGCGGTCAACTACAGACACTTCTCAATTAAGACCGAATACAGGGTGGTCGTCGTTCGTATGTTGACCACAAGGCGGCGGCCATTTTAAGCCATGCGAGAGACCAGCGGTGTTCGGCATTGACTTCATGGAACTGAAAACGGACACTTTTTCAACCGAACACCGCTGAAGCCGTCGACCTCCCTTCTCAATCGACAGAAGTGTGCGAACACCGGCCGTTCGGGAGGTTTAAATGCACGAATGGACTTACCCCAGATAGCCTTGCCATGGAGTCAATCGCATACCGAAGAACTGTAATAGACTTTGACTCCATGGCGATTGAACTATGCGTATGGGATCTGAGCGCTATTCACCAATAATATGCACTCAGATCCAGGCTATCTGGGGATATGTGATACGAATGGATAGTATTCGACAAATGTAAAGTTATCTATTTTTATGTGTTTTTATGTGTTGAATTTAAAATGGCGATTTGCCTCTGTCCTGGAGATAATTGAATTACTTCTCAATTATCTCCAGGGCAGAGGGGGGGAATTACTATTGTATGCTGGGAATATTTTGTGTCTGTGGGTCCTGAACTGCCATATGTCTAACTGTTGTCACAGTCTCCTATTTGGTCCCTGTTACGATTGCCCCCGGTCTAGCAGGGGGGGTTGATCGCTTGGATGTCCTGGTTCCCGCAGTAAGAGGGTCGAACGGAGTTCCTTCGATAAAAGCTGCAAGTGTAGAGTATCCCAAAAGCTGTATAAGCATCAATATCCCGGATCCCTACAACATGAATCGATGCTGCAAGTTGAGGGTCAAAACGAACTGGCCTTACTGGCACACAAACATGGCAATTTATGCAATTCCTCAGGTCCAAGGACAGCCCCCTATGGACCTGATGGAATACAGGTACAGTACAAACAGGAAACCAATCACAGTACAATGTGTCGTTTGAATTAGTACCCGCCCAGCTTGGAGATAATGAGGCCAACGGTTATACAATCTAATTATCTCCAAGCGCACAAAAGACCACGTTGTATTATGTCTCATAAAACTGTATAAAAATACATAACTTCAATATTAATAGGGGAAAACGGTTCATTCTACCATTCATTCAATAGCTCGAGTTCGGGTACATTAAATATACGAATGGCGCTAAGACCCCGCGAACGGAATGAGCAATTTCTGCCGTATAAAGTCCGTTCGGTACATTGGTCGTGAGTCTCTGATGGCGGCCATGTTTTTAGGCGGTTTAATGGGCAGCGGGACTGTAGCGGAGGAGTAGGGGTTAATCCAAGGGCTCTCCGCACAGGAACTATTTCAGTGAACCACAAATACCGAACGGTTAGCCATCCATACGATTGCTACCATTCGTATGATTCCCCTCATTTAGGGGAATCTATCTACCGAACGCCGGGCCGTTCGTGTGTTAGCTTCGTATTGTCGGAGCACGCTGGAGGTCTTAGCGGTGCTTGGTTAGTCGAATGCCCGGTTTGAGTTCCAGGCGTTCGACAACCAAGTATCGCTGTTCGTGCGTAAGATGGCCGCCGCCACGTGTTCGGTAGGCGAAATGGCGGCCACACATACAGGTACTTAATTCCCTTCGCAACAATGTATCACTCTGTTATTGGGAAACACACGACCACCCCGGGGTGGTCTTCCGTTCGGTAGTTTCATACATTCGAATAAACACATTACAATACTATTACAGTCAATTCGTGTGGTTATTCCCTTGGTGAATTACACCTATTCACACAGAATAGTTAGTCCAAGTGGCAGGGTTTGCCACAGGGACCTCGACTCCAACTTATGGAACTGAAATCGGATATGTGCTCATGCGAATCCCCGCTGTCTGTCTGGTAGTGGAAATTGTTCGGTATACGAATTGAGACCGCCCGGTAGCATGGTACTTGAGTTGCGGTTAACCACAAAAAAACACATTCTAATTGCTGCCACACGACCCACTGTAGGAGGTCTCCGTTCGTGAGGTTGTTCGGTAGTTTCCCTTCGGTAATTTGTATGCGAACGTATATCCTCCGTGCCCGTCAATTAGTTTGTGGTTAACAGCAGACCGCAGCAGCCTGGGAGGTTAATGGGCGGCACACTCCGCTTGTCGGGTGGTCGGACATTCGGTACTTTGAGGTGTGATAAGGTTAAGTGGCGGCACACGCCAGCGTTTGGGGGGTCTCTCGTTCGTACCACGAATGGTTCTTTATAAGGATTCGTATAATCCATTCGTATTTTCTCTGTGTCAATAGTATAGGGATGCAACAGTAACAAGATGTGGTAACAATAATACAGTCATATCGAGTCTTTGTAACACTGCTCCCTCCTTGTGGAACACTCTGGCAGATACTGTCTGACCCCTTTTAGGGGCAGATTAAGGCTGTTCAGACTGACAAATTATGCTGGGCTGAGGTCAGTCTGCCAGGATAACCCGTTGGCGTTGCCATTCTGCTTCCCGGGTCGGTAGGTGATGGTAAAATTAAATGGTTGCAAAGATAAGCTCCAACGTAACAATCGTCCATTATCCCCAGCAACCCGGTTGAGCCACACCAACGGGTTATGGTCTGTAACCAGAGTGAACTCTTGTCCGTACAAGTAGGGGGTTAACTTCTTTAGTGCCCACACCAGGGCCAAACACTCCTTTTCCACTGCGGCGTAGCTGACTTCGCGTGGTAGGAGTTTTCGGCTGATGTAGGCAATCGGGTGCTCTTTCCCATCGTCTCCTACTTGGCTGAGGACAGCTCCCAGCCCGAACATGGAAGCGTCTGTATGAACAATAAAACATCGATTAGGGGCTGGGGCAGCCAAGACAGGAGCATTAATTAAAGCGGTTTTGAGCGCTTGGAAAGTGGTTTCACAGTGGGGAGACCACAGGACCTGTCGGGGAAGGCTTTTCTTTGTCAGGTCGGTCAGGGGTTTCGCAATAGCACTATACTCGGGTACAAATCTCCTGTAGTACCCGGCTGTACCCAGGAAGGCTAGCACTTGTGTCTTAGTGTGCGGGGTGGGCCAGTTTGCGACCGCCTCTATCTTAGCCGGCTCCGGTCGCTGCTTCCCGCATCCTACTCGGTGACCCAGGTACTGTACCTCCGCCATCCCAAAGTGACATTTCTCTGGCTTCAGGGTCAGGCCCGCGGCCCGAATCTGATCCAGGACTATTCCTGTAGCGGAGATGCAATAGTACCCAGGTTATCTCCGCTTATAATCCAAGTGAGACTCAGGAACAAGTAAATAGTAAATCCAAAGGCAGGGTTTCCAGCAGGTAAAATACAGCAATATCCCAACAGCAATCCCAATAACTGGACGACACACAGTTTCAGGAGCATAACTGACAAGCCTTTAATCACAGTCTCCTTATAAAGCATGCTCCCATGCAAGGGAGGGATTTACAGTAATTATTACAGTAGCCAATCCTGTCCTGGTAACCTCCCACACATCTCCTCCCCTCAGCTAGCATCATAATCCCCTTATCCAGTACACCAATTCCCCCGTTTCTGGATGTACCCCTAAACGTAGGGGTACCTCTTTAAATCCTACATCCCCTGGTAGTCCTGATCTGGGTGAACAACATATCCAAAAACCACCCAGATCAGACCAGGGGTTCGGGAAAAGTATGGAGGGAATAAAATGACCGACCGCACGAACTGAGATAGCCGAATTCGGTTCCATGTGAATGGGCCTTGCGGTCGGTCCTGGCATAAGGGAATAAAATACACGAAAGCCTCTAGCTATAGAGGCTAGGGAGGGTTCGCCTGAATCCCCTCGTTCGGTATTCTCTATTTACCGAACGAGGGGCCGTTCGGTAGTTTGGAACCGAACGGACCAGGGCTGTGGAGGTCTCAGCGGTGTTCGCCTACTCGAGTGTCCGATTTTAGTTCCAGACACTCGACGGCAAAACACCGCTGTTCGGGAGTTTTAAAATGGCCGCCGCCACGTGTTCGTTTGTCGAATGGCGGCCACCCCCGAGAACAAAGGACGGCTACTTACTGTTCAATTACCCATTCGCAACAATGTTGCAACGGGTAATTGAGGACACACTTCACACAGGGAGGTCTGGTTGTTCGGTAGTTTCATTCGAATAAACTAAGGGAATGAAACTACCGAACAATCAGAGGAATACAATTCTTTTTCAATACACAGAAAATACAGCAGATACACGGATGCAGCTTTATACAGTATTTTTGTAGGGTCGCCTGGTGCAATCCGCTACACTGCTCCCCCTTGCCCACAAGCCGGCATACACAGTCTGATCCAACACGGATCGGCTTGGGGATGTCCGGGGAGGCTCACGGATCATTTCTCTAGGTCAGTTTGTCGAGACAACCCATCAGCATTTCCATTCTGTTTACCCGGGCGGTACTGGATATTAAAGTCAAAGGGCTGCAGCGCCAGACTCCAGCGCAGCAGCCGGGCATTGTCCCCAGCCACCCGGTTTAGCCATACTAACGGGTTGTGATCCGTGAGCAGGGAAAAAGCTTGTCCGTACAAATAGGGCTGTAATTTCTTCAGGGCCCACACCACAGCCAGGCATTCTTTCTCGATGGCGGCGTAGCTTACTTCTCGAGGTAACAGTTTCCGGCTGATGTAAGCCACGGGATGTTCTCCGCCATCGGCCCCGACTTGGCTTAATACTGCTCCCAATCCAAACATAGAAGCGTCTGTGTGGACAAGAAAACGTTTAGTTGGATTGGGAGCTGCCAAGACAGGGGCATTTGTCAATGCATCTTTTAACAACTGAAATGCCTGTTCACACTCCGGGGTCCAGGTTACTTGGCGGGGTAGGTTTTTACGGGTCAAGTCGGTGAGAGGTTTGGCCAGGGCACTGTAATTCGGGACAAATTTCCGGTAGTATCCGGCCGTTCCTAAGAACGCTAACACCTGGGTCTTAGTCCTAGGGTGGGCCATTGAGCTACAGCCTCTACTTTGGCTGGTTCCGGCTTTTGCTTGCCGCATCCTACCCGATGACCTAGGTACTGTACTTCAGCCATTCCTATGCTGCATTTGGCTGGTTTCAGCGTTAAACCAGCGGCCCTAATCCTATCTAGGACCGCTCCTATATGGGTCAGGTGTTCCTGCCAGGTATTGCTGAAAATGGCAATATCGTCGAGGTATGCGCAGGTATAATCCTGGAACCCATCTAGGAGGCGGTCCACCATCCGCTGAAAAGTAGCCGGGGCGTTTTTCATCCCAAACGGCATGACCTTAAATTGGTACAAGCCGAATGGGGTGACAAAGGCCGACTTAGGGATGGCGTCTTGGGCCAAGGGTATTTGCCAATACCCTTTACACAAGTCAATTGTGGTGAGATAGTGCCCCCTCGCCATCCGATCCAGGAGTTCGTCTATCCTGGGCATAGGATAGGCGTCCGATACCGTCTTCTCATTTAATCTCCGGTAGTCTACACAAAACCTGGTCGTGCCGTCCCGCTTTGGTACTAGGACTACCGGAGATGCCCAGGGGCTGTCAGAGGGCTCAATCACCCCCAGCTGGAGCATCTCATCTATCTCCTTGCGCATGTTCGCCCGTACCGCTTCTGGGATGCGGTACGGGGTCTGACGCATGGGAAGTTGCCCTGGGGTGTCTACTCTGTGAGTGGCCAGAGGAGTGTAACCAGGTACATTAGAGAAGATATCCTGCTTCTCCCTCAACAGCTGTTGTACCTCGCTCCGCTCCTGTGGGCTCAACCGATCCCCCAGGGTGACCTCCCCTAAGTCCCCGGATAACTGACCCTCTCCCAGCAGATCCGGGAGAGGTAAACTGTCAAACTCCTCGGAGTTAGGCGCACATATAGCGGTCACTTCCTCCGAGCGCTCCTGGTAGGGCTTCATCATGTTCACATGGAGCATGCGTCGCCCCCCAGTACCAACGCACGAGCCGATTATATAAGTGGTGTCACACCGTTGTTCCACCACCTTATAAGGGCCCTGCCAGGCGGCCTGCAGCTTATCGTGTCGGACAGGTTTTAAGATTAACACCTTCTGCCCGACCTGAAAGCTACGGTCCCTGGCGCCCCGATCATACCATGTGCGTTGGCGTGTCTGAGCCGCCTGCAAATTCTCGCGTACCGTCTGAGTTAAGGCCTCAAGGCGGTCTCGGAATGCCAACACATAGGGTATGATGGGGGTACCGTCAGTGCTCCGTTCTCCCTCCCAATGCTCTCTGATCAAATCTAAAGGCCCTCGTACCCTGCGGCCAAACAATAGTTCAAATGGGGAGAACCCAGTGGATTCCTGCGGCACCTCCCGGTAAGCAAAGAGGAGGTGCGGCAGGAACTTCTCCCAGTCCTTGTGGGTCTCTGCGAAGGTTCGGAGCATTTGTTTCAATGTACCGTTGAAACGTTCGCAGAGCCCATTCGTCTGGGGGTGGTAAGGGGAACTAATGACCGGCTTAATGTCACAAAACTTCCAGAGGCGCTGCGTGACTTCGGCGGTGAACTGGGTGCCCTGATCGGAGACAATCTCCCTGGGGAGTCCCACCCGGGAGAATATCTTCATCAGGGCTTCCGCTACTGTCTCAGCCTGTATATTCGTCAGGCCCACCGCCTCTGGATATCTAGTGGCATAATCTACTACGGTCAGGATAAATCTTTTACCTGACGGGCTTGCTTTGTTGAGGGGTCCTATTAGGTCCACTGCTACCCTGCTAAAGGGTTCCTCGATTATGGGGAGGGGATGTAACTTGGCCTTGCGCCGGTCCCCCCTTTTCCCCACCCTTTGACAGGTATCGCACGTGTTGCAATACCTGCGCACCTCCTGGCTAATTCCCGGCCAAAAGAAACTTTGGGTTAACCTGTATCGGGTCCTGCTGACCCCTAAATGTCCAGATAGCGGAATGTCATGGGCTATCCGTAGTAACTCCGCCCGGTACCGCTGAGGTACCACTAACTGCCTCATCACAATCGGGTCTGACCCGGATACCTGCTTATCCGTCTCCCGATATAACAGCTGGTTGTCCCAAATAAACCTTTCGCCCTCCCCCCCAGGCGTGTCTGCTGTCACCTTGTCCCTATACACCTGCAAAGTGGGATCAGTCACTACCTCAGCTGCAAATTCGCTAGGAGGGGCCCAGGGAACACAGTCAGGGGAAGGGGACGGATCTCTTACCTGGACCTCCGGGAGTGTGTTGTAGTCCTGGGTGCGGGCCTGTTGTCGAGTGACCACAGGGTGAGCTTCTCCTGTGATGGGTGTCTGGGGCTCA